GCAGAGGCGCAATGCCGACGGTAAACGCGCATGTCACAAGGAGCGCAACTGAAGTGGAAGAAAGCTCAAACAACGTCATGCTCTTGTCGGCTGGCTGAAGCACGGAGGCTAAGCCCCCTACGCGGTAGCTCAGACATGGCACGATCCACACGGGCACGATGCAAGCGGCAACAAAAGCAACATGGAGTACGCGCCAAAACAGGCGTCGCAGTCGTACTGGCGAGGTCTTATGCGCCTCTGAAATATTCCTCTCAACTTCATCCTCGGGGTCCAAAAGCAAAACACCGTCCAGGAAGTCTTCCATGTTCATCTTCACTGAATACGGGCAGCAACGAAGCGTTGTGTTGCGGCGCCAAAAAACCGTGGCGTAGTTTCCAATGAAAACGCAAAGAATCGTTGCCGCAAGAAAAACGTAGAACCCAGCAAAGACGCGCACCTCGGCAACACCTGCTATCTGAAGACCAGCGGTCATAATCACCATCGCGTACGAGTCAAGAAATGAGAACTTCCCAAAATAATCAATCACGCTCAACATCGGCAACTCCGGTTTCTGAAGGACGAGTGTGCAGACGCAAATAGTCGCAAGCTTGAAGTACGGATAAACCCCGCTAAAGACAAAGACCAACACCGCCAACAGTTTCAGGCCAGCCTGGTACAGACTACGCGTCGAGTCCATGAGCGAGAAGGACAACGTTTGCACTTCATCGCCAACGACAAGCGCCGCGCTGGTGGTGGTGTTTGACCAGATAAATGCCAGTGTGTTTACCACAATCAACAGGATCAGCAGCGTATCCTCCAAGAGCACACGCTGCAGTGATATGTCGGACCCATCCCACAACTTTGCGGGGGATCGACGATGACGCACGATGCTCATGCAAATCATTCCAGCGACAAATACCACGGCAAGAATCACGGAAGAGACTAGCAGTGCCGTTGGGGGAACCATGACAAGTGGTGCTCTTTCCTTTAGGGGAATTCCAAACCGGTTCACGGTTTTGTCACAAAAGCGCAAGGTCACAAAATTAAGGGCCTCATTAACGGCCTGTGATACCCAGGGGCCGATATGGTTCACCACAAGCCGATCCCACTCATGCAGCCCTCTGAGACGAATATTGCGCAACTGGATCCCACCGGTGCATGGTATACTGCAGTCAAACCCATCGGGGGCACAACGAAGGTTATAAAAGGAGACGTCTAGTGACATCTCGAAGGCCCCAGGAGCTTCAACATCCATGAAACCATCTGTAATGGCCGGAAAATGTTCCATGTCACTCCAGGCCACACGATCGTTCAAAAGCGCAGACAGTACTGACTGAAACGCCTCTAAATCAGCGAGAGGCCCGCTGGTGTGGTCCGTCGTGTTGTGCATGACCATGTGGAACCCACGTGTGAATTTCAGGTGCAATCGAATCGTCGTCTCAGAAAATGCAGATGCCTTCAGTTGTACTCCGTGTGGATCCTTAAACCTATTCAAAATGTTCAACGCGGCGCGGAACGAAGGGGATTTACTCAATGGCGTGTCCCCTTCAATAAACGGTGGAGATGGCGCCGGCGGATTAACCGTGTGGTTCTGCAGCTCCCGCTCAAGACGCGGAAGGGCAACTTTGCAGGCGTAGAACCCCGCGTGCTTTTTTATAAGCTGTTTGACAGCCTTCATCCCCAGCTCAAACAGAAGGACAGGAGGCTCCACCCGGATGTTGTCCATCGTCATGTTAAAAACGCAACCGTCTGGGGAGAAGACCTCGTTGGAACGGCGATCATCCGACGCCCGCGTGAGCGACACCGCGCTCTGAGGCATGTGAACATCCCAGAAGATGCTCGAGCGAGCAATGCCCATCTCAATATCCACAGAGCACGACAGCATCGACGGCTGTGTCACGTGCAGGGACCACATCGAGGCGTTGAAAGCGCCACCCGTCGCCCCAATCTGCACCGTCGCACATGACATGTTGTGCAGAGTCGCAATACCGGCATTCATGGACAAATTCGGCAGCGCAACGTCCGTCAGCAGCAGAGATGTCCAGCCGAAGAACAGCGACAAATATGTGGAGAGCATTTTAGGCGAGAGAAGCGCGACGCCACCCGAAAGCAAAAAAAAAATGTCCAACAGAACAGCAAAGAAAAATATTAAAAAGAGGGCCGAAAAGAATCTACTACTGCAGCAGCTATTGACTACGACACCCTTGCAGAAGAAAGAGGCCCCTTTGGTCTGCCGTCAAGCAAAACTCAGCCGCAACGTTGACCGCTGTGCCTTGCAAGATGACAAAGACGTGGGGCGCAGATCCACGCAGACGCGGACGCCCACGGCGGAAGAAGAAAAGAAGGCGAGGGGAAACCAGAGCTCTTACAAATGCAGAATTGAACCAACAAAAACAAACATACAACAAAACAAAATATATGTAAAAAAGCAAACCACAAGGCACGTGCATGGCAGCCACAGAGCGCCTCAAATATTCACAGAATGAAGTGCAACGGGGAACAGCAGCCACGAACAACACGCCGATCGAGCCGACTCTCGCGCGCCACATTTAACAAATAATTACGCGGCGAGTAACTCACAATTTCACTCTGCCCTCACTTATGTGAGGGGCCCTTTCGCTTCCTCGCACCTTTGCTGCGCCCATGGCGTTCCCTCAACGCAGCGCGGCTGGACTGATCTTTACGCAGCAACTTAGCGGCTATGTCCCGCACCTCAGTGTCTATCTTTCCCGCTGCACTCGACCCTTTGCTACGCTGGGCGTAAGCTACAGCAGCCTTGATATTGGCGGCACTATTATTTTTCCGTCGAAGCAGCAAAATGCGCTTTGAGACCTGCTCCTCCAGAACGACAGGCGAACTCAGGGAGCGATTCTCCGCGGCAGCCAGACTGGTAGCAGCCGTGTGCTCCTCCTCCTCGTGCACCAGGCGTGCCAAGCGTCGACCCTCCTCAAGCGACACAATCCTGCCAGCCGGAAGCTTCAGTCGCGGCTGCAGCGTCGACTGCCGCAGCAATTGTTTCGCCACTATACTTTGCGGGCTCATTAGTACGCCAAACCAAAACCCTCCTTCAAACCTACACACAACAGAAACCCACTCCAACAAACACAACTACCAAAAAAAAAGGGTAAAAACAATCCCCAGGTACATCTCACTGCAGCGCCCAGACGAAGGGAAGACAACAACAGGCGGACACATCAACGCACACTGCGGCGCATACGAGTTAAACAACAGAAACTATAAGAAGTTCTCCGGTAGCAATTACTGTCGGGCGTTCGGCCAAAAACAAAGACGACGCCTAGACAACAGCGAAGCCGTGAGAGGCGCAGAGAGGAGGGGTTGCGTTCAACGGCCCATCCAGCGCATTGTAAAAAAGCCAAACAAAAAAAAAAGAAACGCACATCAAATATTCAGAAGCCCATCGCAGGCAGTGACAACCCGTTGGCAAGGCGCTGCCGCCCAACCGGAGGGAAACCACGAGAGATGTGAAAGCAACCACAAAAACAATCAACCAAGTACCCCCCCCCCCAAAAAAAAAAGGGAAACACAAAAAATCAAAAGCGACTTCGAAACGACAAAAAATAAAGGCAAACATAAAAACAAAGCAAATTCACCCAAAACAC